CGGCGGTGTCGCCTGAGGGACCGTCCGAGCGGCGGCGGGGGAGGGGTCGCCTCTGCCTCGCGTACCCTGCTCCGCGCCCGGCGGGAGGGATGGCGTGACCCACCGGCTCTTAACTCTGCCCGGCTGTTGCAGGGAGCGCTGACGGCCGGCCTCGGGCATGGCTTTGGGCGAGATGGATGGAGCGGCGTCGGAGCCGGAGGAAGGCGGGAGCCAGGAGCCAGGTGTCATCTCCGCCAGAAATATCCTGGAGAGCTTCACAGAGAGTCAGGAGGTCGGGGGGCTCATCGGTAACCTGAAGGGAGTCTTTGGGGATCTGGTGACTCGAGAAATGACGGTGGAAAAATTCATAGGTAAGCACGTCATCCAAACGGAGTGTGTTTTTGTATTGCTTAAAGGAACTTCTTACCAAAAAAGGACTAAACCGTTAATTTTGGATTAGTGATAATGCTGGAACTTCATCAACAGGTAGTTTAGATTTATTTTTTTACTCGTTTTGTTTGCCAGATGTATATTGCATTATTTTGCAGTATCTAACTACATTCTGACCCATGTTTAGCCTCCACTTTCCTATTCAAATGCGGGCAATAATTTAGTTAAGGTCTGTACGTCTGTCAAATAAAGCCAGTTTTGTACCTAATTACTTGTTCAAAATGCATACATTTGGAGCTTTAAAGTGGTAATTTCATATTTTTACTCTTATATTTCATAGGAAATATGAAGGGCAGCTGAATCCATACAGATCATGTAATTGTTTCTGAGTGGAGGCAGCTTGGATCTGACTTAGTAACTGAGCTTTTGTGCCATATAATGACAGCTGTTCTGCTTCTAGACCTCAGCTGAATATAGAAGTGGTATAATTACCTGCATGTAGTAGTGTCCTAGGTAATTAGCCTGTTATAATGCACATCTGTGTATTGGATCCAATATTCTGACCAGATGATTTGCAAAAGTTTCATATATTTACAAATCAATTTAAGTGGACTAGTATTTTGCAGGTACTTTTGCAAAAATAGTGGAATTGCAAAAATTTACAGTCAAGATATTGATCCAGTGTCTGTGTTTTTGACAAAAAGAAACTAGGTAGGCAAACAATAAACCAGAAAACCTAGAATTTGGAAATCTGACACTGCAGAAGTTACTTGGCAGTATTATACTGGATTGACTTAACTGACTGTACCATCTGAGGAGGTTAATGGTGAACATGTAGCTGTTCAGAAAAATGTAGCAAGAACACTCATATTTGTGTTGATCGTTCAGTATCACAGATGAAATGGTAGACTTTAATGGGATAGAAAAGATATCACTGAAAAAAATCTCAGCGTCTGAGAGGCCATCATCTCCTCCATCCAATCATCTTGCTGTGCCTCTCTTGTCTTTCATATCATATATACTGTCTCCGTGTATTTAAATTGTATTGATGAACTTTCTGAATGCATATCATTGCCCAGTAAATAGAGTGTCAATATAATTAAAATTGATAGGTACTGTACATGTTGTTCAGTATTCAGTTATGATATTTAGTGTCATAAGGTATCATTTGATCTTTCTTGAGCAAAATGTCCTATATAGGGTAACAGGCCAAATGTGTGGGATATAACATTGAAGCTTAGGGAATACCTTTAATCTCTATGCGGATAACACATTAATCATCAGTTACAGAGGATTTTAATGCAGGTCACTAAAGCATTCACAAAAACATATGATGCTCATTTTTTGGTGATCTGTTAGAAACAGAAGTTTGGAAGATAGTTTAATCTGCAACTATAATTTTGTAGGAAAATTTAGGAAGATTTTTTTTGAATAGTAGTATTAAAAGAACTTTTTTTCAATTCATTCTCTTCAGCATTTAGATTTAGGGTTTTATTTTAGATTGCCAGACTGCGATTTGGGAAAACAATTTGGCAAGATAAGGAATTTGCTGTTAAATTCCACTTCTGCTTGAGAGCTGTTGCTGTGAGTGTTGATGGAATTTACTGTATTCACTAGCTCTGTTATTTGTACACAGTTTAAGGTATCATTAATTACAATGGGAAGTTAGTGATGATTAGGAGCTCAGGCTTCCCGCTTGATAGGAGGCAGCACTGTGGTATCCCAGTGGAATTGCACAAGTTACTGCAAGGATACTGTTGGACTGGCTGGTGTCTTGAAAGTGGTTGTGCAGTGTCATCCACTACTCAACTACAGCAGTGTTGAAGTTGAATTATGTCTTAAATCCTTAAATCGTAAAGTGTTGATGTGACAAGTGGAGAAAAGCGATAGAGAGCAAAATTGTTTGAGAGAGAAACAAGGAAGAAGAGCAGTTAAGAAAATATTTTAGTTTTCTGATTAAAAAGCTATTTTCTGACCAATTATCTAAAATGACTGAGACAATCTCCAGCACAATACTGGATCACTTGATGATCTCTTCTGAAGTCCAGCTTTCATTTCTGTAGCTGCTTTTCATTGATTCTAGGGTTAAATCAAAATGCTTTTGTTTCTAAAAATTGTGGCAAGTTGTTCATATTTTCTTTCAATATTCAATTTCAATTTTTCCCCAAGTCAATTCCCAAAGGGAAGATAAGATATTACTGGCAGCAAGATAAAGTAAGTAATGTGAAAAGTTTTGAGGAGCACAGATAGTAATAGCTACAGTTTGTATTTATCCAGGTTAAAGTTTGTCAAGGATTCTTTGTTCTTTGCTGAATAATTTCCTCTGTTCTATTTAAAAATAAAAAACTAGCTCTGAGAATTGTGAAGAGCACCTTCACTTGCAAAGTAGTACTATGTTGTTTTTCTTTTCTGCTATAGTCAGGTACCTCAAAAGAAAGAGATAAGAATTACGCAATGCCTATAGCCTGTCTCAGTACAGATCCTCAGTGGTGGAACTATATCTTTAAATATGTTCCAGGCATGGGAAGGAAGATAGCCTTGTGGTGAAACCCAGTGTGTCCAGGGAGAATTTCCCCATGGCTGTATTAGCCTCAGGGTTGGAAAAGTGTCATGCTACTACACTTCTTGATGTTGAGATATCTTTGTGCATGTGTTTTTGAAAACAATCAGTAATTTGACATGCTAACAAATAGAACAGTGGGATTCTGTATGTTAATGAAGAAGATGTGAACAGCAAGTCAGAAAGGTGTAAAGCAGCATTCTAGTTGCTGTGTGGGTAGGAGTGCAGTGTAAAGCTGGTACAGCTGGAGCAGCTACAGTCTGCTGTATATATTAAGTCTCTGTAAATAGTGGTTTAACGTTGTCCTCTGTTTGCAGAGTTCCATCAGAAATGGTGCGCTGGTAAGTTGTGCTTAGGAAAGGAGAGCCACAAAGTGCTCTGCAGTGAAGGACAGCAACAAACTGAGTGATTGCTTGTTTCATCTAGCTGTGAGATTTGTCCGCAGTAACTTGAGAGACTCCTGGAAGGGAGTTTATGATTCAATGTAGGTAAATGATTGCCCTACAGAAGTGGACAGACTATATTTTTAGTTACTTCTCTGTAGTTTTCTTACTTTTTGATCTTGCTTACAGGTGGTGGCAGCACTTAGCTCAAGGATACTGAAATCTTAAGCTAACGCTGTCTACAATCAGGGTGTATCTCACAATTAATGCCTGTAAAGAGCCTTTAATTTGACTAGCTTATTACAGATATATTTTCCTTTTCAGGTATAATGGACAAGTACCAGGAGCAACCTCACTTGTTGGATCGCCACTTAGGTAGGAATGTCATCTTTAAATAATTTTTGTGTATATACTTGAAAATCTGTTAAACTAGAGGGTTTATATTTGCATTACAAGATTGCTGTGGTTGACATTACTTATATGACTACTATCTCCCTCTTTGTTATTACAAGTAAGAGAAACTGTAAGCTAACTGCATGTTGTTTCACTTCTTTTCCTATCCTTCCATTAGAGTGGATGATGAATTCATTGTTGGCTATAGTACGGGACAATGGATCTCCTCCCCCACTAGTTCATCTGGCTTTTAAATTTCTTTACATCATCACAAAGGTAAAAATCTCCAAGTTTAATGTTCTGTAACTGAAATGTGTAAGTTCCCAATATTTTCTTTGTTGTTTAAATAACTTAAAAAAATTTTACCTTTTCAAAAATAGTAAAATAAATAAATAAATTCTTGTCTAAGTAATGTAATGAAATGTTTTAAACTGTACTGTGAAAGATTAGTTCTCTTTTTTATCTTTTTCATAATACTTATGTTATTTAATGAACCAGAGTAGTAAAAATCAAAGTCTGAATACAAAAAAAATTGCAGACATTGAGACAGTGGTAAAACAAGAGTCATAATGTTGAAAAGAAGAGTAAAGTATGATGAAGAATTAGATGGATTTTGGAATTTCCATCTGAGCGTAAGAAAACATTTTTTGCATGTGAGGGCTGACCACTGGAGTAGATTGCTCAGAGAGGCTGTGGAGTCCCCTTCCCTGGAGATACTGAATACCCTACTGGACATGATCCTGGGCAGCCTGCTGTGGGTGACGGTGCTTTAGCAGGAGAGTTGGACTAGACAATCTTCAGAGGTCCCTTGTTTTAAAGTTAAAGCATTATCATTCCATTAATTCTTAATAAGTTTGTAAAACCACAAAAATCTCAAGGTATTTAAGACCTTAATTCATATGAGGTTCATACACAAGAAGCTTCTCAAAGGGTCTTTCCTCTTTCCTCAGTACTTGACAGTGCCAGATTGCTTAGTAAATTTTGAAACTTTCTGTTTTAGGTGAGAGGGTACAAACGTTTCCTCCCACTGTTTCCTCATGAAGTAGGTGATCTACAGCCTGTTTTGGATATGCTTGTAGACCAGAATCCAAAAGATTCAGAGGTGAGAACTTACGGTACTTTTTAACTTTTATGTCTCCAGCAGAAAAAGCTGATGAACAGTGTAAGAAAAAAATCTGGAAGAAAGTGTATAAAGCAGTGATATGCCCTGGCCGGTGTTAACCGAACATCTGAATTTAGTATGAAAGTGTCGTGGTTTAACCCCAGCTAGCAACTAAGCACCACGCAGCCGCTCACTCACTCCCCCCCATCCAGTGGGATGGGGGAGAAAATCGGGAAAAGTAGTAAAACTCGTGGGTTGAGATAAGAACGGTTTAATAGAACAGAAAAGAAGAAACTAATAATGATAATGATAACGCTAATAAAATGACATCAGTAGTAATAAAAGGATGGGAATCTACAAATGATGCGCAGGGCAATTGCTCACCACCTGCCGACTGACACCCAGCTACTCCCCGAGTGGTGACTCCCTGCCCCCACTTCCCAGTTCCTCTACTAGATGGGACGTCACATGGTATGGAATACCCCGTTGGCCAGTTTGGGTCAGCTGCCCTGGCTGTGTCCTGTGCCAACTTCTTGTGCCCCTCCAGCTTTCTTGCTGGCTGGGCATGAGAAGCTGAAAAATCCTTGACTTTAGTCTAAACACTAGTAAGCAACAACTGAAAACATCAGTGTTATCAATGTTCTTCGCATACTGAACTCAAAACATAGCACTGTACCAGCTACTAGGAAGACAGTTAACCCTATCCCAGCTGAAACCAGGACAGAAAGTCATCTTGTCAGAAGAGAAATGTCTTATTGAAGCAGAGGTCTTGTGTTTTTCTTTCATGGGATATGATCTAAGGATTTAGAAGTGATGGCAGTAGCGGTGCAAGTAAAATCTTCAACCACTCATATAAGGGAACAAATTAATTGAAACAACAGTAATAAGAAAGGCAGTGAAAGATACTGAACTAAGAGGAGTAACTGAAAAATTCCCTACCTGCTATGCATATCATTAACGGTCACGTTAATTTAGCTTGAAGTCATAAAAGTAAAATCACAGGAAACGGAGCGTTTAGGTTTTATGTATTTATTCCTATTTCTTAATGTAAAGAGGCTGTTTTTTAAACCTTTCGGTTTTGTCAAAGTTGGTATGAGAACTTCTATTTTGATGAGGAAATCAAGACAATAGTTAATTTTCCTTGTTTAATTTTGTAAAGTGTTTTATTCTTCCCCAACCCCCCAATATCAGTCTTCAGATCTGTGAGGTTTGGTGGGTTTTTTTCCTTCCTTTTCTTTTGAAAGGAGGGAGGTGAAGATTGGAGAAAATTGCACAGTTATGGCATGAGGCATGAATCGCTTGGGGTTTTGCCTTTTGATAATATATTCCTGGGTGTGGAAAAACAACACAGAATTTCAGATTTTTTTTTCCACCTGTTTGCAATTTGAAAAACTGTGACATCACTTCATTAGTGTCCTGATTTAAAGTTTTATTTGGCTGGAAATGTTCTGGGCAAGAGCTCTGATTTGAAAAAATATTTACGCAAAGACTTTTTAAGCATGGATTGAGATCATAGAATCATAGAATGTCTTGAGCTGGAAGGGACACATAAGGATCATCAAGTATAACCCCAAGATACCATAGTTCATATTCTTATATTTTTTAGTAAGGAAAAATAAGAATTCCAGAGGGCTTATTAAAATAGATGAATTTTAAGAGAGAACATCATCTATTATAAGTAACAAAAATCATGGATCTGAAGACAATAATTGTATTGCTGCTCTAAATTAAAATAATTTTTTTAATAAACATTATCAATTCTGACCACTTTGCTGCTGTTGTAGATGTACAGCTGTAAAACTTCTAAAAGTTTCTTCTTGTCTGTCTCTCTCTCAAAATACATCTAAAGTTGTTTCAGTAAACCCATGAAACCAATGCATAAGAAATTAGGAAGAAGAACATATTTCTCTCATATTTGTAACTGGAGGCACAAATAGGCTGAGGGAAGGAGAAAACACGAAAATGGCAACATGCAGTTTTCCTTTGGGAAGGAAATAAACTTGCCTAGATTTCAGATTCAGAAGGGAGGGTGCTTTAATTTTGTTACAGTTTTCCTGTTTGGAATTGCTGGTAGTTCTGTCTCCTTTGGTGTTTCAGAGCATTCAGGTTCGGAGTTTTCATCATCTTACTTTGAAAGTTCCTTGGAGCTACTGGATAGTTTATGCTCCACGCACTTTGTTGGAATATGTTCCAGAAAATGGAGTGCATATGTTGTTTTACCATTCTTTTCCAGACTTGGGAAACTCGTTATATGCTTTTATTATGGCTCTCCATGATATGCTTGATTCCTTTTGATCTGGCCCGTTTTGATGGAAATATTACTTCTGCGGAAGGGCATGCTCGTGTGCCAACAATGGATCGCATACTTAAAATAGCAAAAGTAAGTATAATACATCTTGTAATATTTCGAAACCTGTGATATTTTTCTTAGGCTTAATCTTTCAATATATAATAAATTATTGTCTTTTCAGAATATTATTTAAGCCCATGTTTCCTGTATCTAATCTGTAAGAATTTCTTCATAGTTTTGGAATCTTCCAGCATGTCCTTTGCTGCTTTAGTGTCAGATGAGACAGTTTATTACTTCAGGGAAAACAAACAACAATCTTATTTTATGCCTGTCTGATATGAATGCATGCCTTGATTATGTTAACAGCTTTTAGCATTTGAAAATACTAGCTAGCTTTTTTGGAAAACCAAGTTTGATTTATATACGAAATTAGCATTCAATGAGGACGAGTAACATTGGAAGCTATGACGGCATGAAGAATTTTCAAAGAAGGTAGTAAAGTTTCATGAGGTGTAAGCCGAAGTGGCTAACTTGTCATCCCTTTAAGATAAAAATAAGCAACACCATCCCCAAAATACCTGTACAGCTTATGCTTTTTACACTTGCAGCACTTAGTGGCTTATCACTTGTAAGCATGTAGTAGCACAAATATGACTGTAAGTGAATGTTTCAGTAAAGGTAAACTTGCTTTGAAAGACACTAGGAGGGAGACTTTGTTGTCTGAGATACGGTTGTTAAATGGGAAATTTTGGGATGGGGAAAATGGGATCTTAAGCTCAGTTTGTAATCGTAATAATGTTTGTAATCATAAGTATTAAGTAGTATATTCATGTACAGAGTTGTTATGTAGTTTTTATTAAATCTAAATGTATGAATTCTTTTACAGTTAGTTTTCTTTTACTTTTAGTGTTACTTGGTTGTCAGTGATAAGGCTCGAGATGCAGCTGCTGTACTGGTTTCAAAGTAAGTCTCTTTTGTGCTTCTTGGCAGAAATGAAAAAAGTTAGCGCCCATTTCTCCTGCCATTTTTTAGTCTGACATGCTACTAATGACAGTGTTGGGAGGACTGGAAGTTGCCAACTGTATGTGGGATGTTAAATTTGCTTGAATCAGATCCAACAGTGTATTTATTATGGGAAATGCTGTGTTTTCTTCTGCTTACTAGAGGAACAGGTATCTATCACAGGGGATACAGATCTTCACTGTTAACAGGATACTGTTCAAATTGCCTTCCAGGGACTGGTTTGTGCTGCAGGGTTTCAGAAAGATACAGTTACTTTGTGTTGCCGATTTTTGCAGTGTGTTGCATGGTAAATAGAGAATTAGTATCTAGTATTACTGGCTTGATGTTTCCTAGTAGTACCTTAAGTTGCGTAAAAGGAAATAGAAATGCTAGAATTTATTTTCTTAATATCCCTCTTGTCACTTTCTTCATTCTCTCAGCCACACAACAATACTTCTGTTTTCTTAGGTTTATTCTTGTCAAATAATTCATCAAATAAAACAGGTGTAGGATAATGGAACTTTCTAAATCCCATTGTCTTACACAGTTGGTGTTCAGACACTGAGTAATTTGTGACAGAGGTGCAGTTGTTCTGACATTTTTTGTGTCACTTCAGTAATACTGATGCTAGGGTTGCTTATAAAATTGAAATAATGAACTTCTGTATTTCTTCTTTCCTTTCCTAGTGCATTAGTAGAGATTGGTTTCATTTGTGATGCATATGAAAATAAATTACAAAGACCATAAACTGTGCTAGTACACACTATCTTTTTTCCAGTATATATTACAATACATGTTACAGTATTCTTCTAGCAGAAGAGGGCTTTATTCAGCTCAGTTTGTAATTTAGTTTTTCTTTTCTTTTTTCTTTCTTTTTAAAGCAAGCAAACCCCCAGAATCTTTACACTAGCATATACTGTATCTACGCTAGGGGGCTCTGCCAACATAGTTTTGCCAGTGTAGCCATAGGAGCAGAGGCTCTGTAGGGTGAACAAGATGAAATGATGATAGTCGGTGTGGGTAGCTAGTCTGAACAATAAAGTCTGTGTTAAGGTTTTTCTCTGGATGAAGAGGCACAAAATTTGTGGGATTGATTGTATCAAAATAGTTGTTAAATATAACATTTAGTACAGCAGATCCTAACTGTCTTTTGGGGAAATAAGTGTCCATATACTTATTTTAAATTTATTCTGAACTTCAGTCATGGGACTCAATGCTTTAGAAACTTGTATTTAGTGAGTATAATGCTACAGTTCCAAATCTGATGACAAAACCAACACTTTTTTGTTTTAGAACTAACAGCGTCATGCAGAAAATTCATGAAGGAGTTGAGACTAGAATCATAGTTCTCTGGTGACTAGTCCTGTACTTTTCTGATTTACTCTGAAATATTTCAGAGCAAAATTTAAGTGAATGCATGAATCATTTGAATAGTCTTTAATAAATAATCTTGCATGTTACATAATTATTTCCCTGTGACAGAACGTAGGTTTGTCTCCTCATCCTAATTAGTTTTTGCAGTCATCTTGGAAGTGATAATTGGAAATTGCTTTTCTAGGATTTTTATGTATCTGCATTGGTTATCTGCCTTGTCACAAGCTGACAGAAGGAGAGGATTTGATTTGATGTTATTAGCAGTTGTCTTATGTTCACTTCACCTCCATTTTATTGGCTAAATTAATTTTTATTAAAAGTATGTATTCATAACAAATAAGGTGATAAGAATTACATTAAGCTGGTTGTAGTACCAGCTGCATCAAGGTGTATAAGGCTGTAATGGGAGCAAAATTACTATTTAGTGTATTTATAATTATTTGGTTTATTATGAAAGCACCATTTTCAAAATGGCCTAATGATTAAAACACTTCACAAGGAATTAGGAGACCCAGGTCCAAGGTCTTTTGGCCTTGGTGCATTTGAATTCACTGCTTTCACATCCCAAAACTGTTCTTTAATGAACGGGCATGGTTATTTTGAGATGAGATCACTGTTTCATCTTCTTGAAGTTCGACTGTTAACGTGGGCAGGAATACAAAAGTCCTAGGACAGACAGAGAGATAAGATACAGGAGTCTAACTCTTTAAACACACTGAGTTAGGAAACTCCTTGGGGAGGAAGAGGAAGTCTGGGTTCTGGTTCCTGCTCCAAGGAGTTAATGAATTTCAAGCGAAGTTTAGAAACATCAGGATCCAAGACTTCCTGTTTTCCAAAGTAATTTACCTTTCATAGGGCAAAGGACCTGGAGTTTGTTCCATGAATTCTCCTTTCTGTCTGCTCAGTGACCTGGTTGCAGTAGGAGGAGATGAGGTTTATCCTTATCTTGCTTTTAGTCTGGAGGTTAGGGCACTCCTTTGAGAAATTAAGATTTAAACTCCTTTGGGCTGAGAAAGGGTCTAGGAACCAGTTCATCTACTTTACAGGTTACTTCTCTTACCTGTGCTACTGTGCAAAAGAAGGCTTTGTCCTTGCTGCTCTGTTATAAAACAAGCCACCCCCCCTCAACTAACCCCTGCCCCAAATCCTCACTGTTTTATTGCTGAACACAATAGATGCTGACTTTGAAGACCATTCAAGTGATCACATGTCTGCTCACTGTTTCCTGTTTTCTCTGTATTTAATATTCTTTGTTAGTTAAGTCTTGGTGCAGTTCCCCATTTAATTGGTAGGTATATAAAGTAACCAGATACAGGCTCTGCATACATCCTTGTTGAAGCACTATGAATTGTACTTTGTGGGCTTTCCTATGTACCTTGTTTACTTTGATTGCATTGAGAACAAAGTTTCTTAATTTAGTCTGAATCTCTGCTGGAACAGGACCCTAATTTTTAGATGCTAAGAATACTAAATTAGGTAACTGAAGCAGTTGCCCTAACTGTAGCTTGGCTGGCACTGGTGATGACTGAGTATAGAAGTAGTTTAACCATGATGAACCTCTTTTGCCCTCTCTCTCTAAGATGGGTAAAAATGCATCTCCTGACCCATCTACTGTGTTAAATAACAGGTGTTTGACTTTTTCAAATATCCAGAAAACCAAATATAGCACTGATGATTACTTTTTATGGGCCTGGCTGATAACAGTGCAGTATGGACCAATTTTTGATTTGCACTAATTTTCAGATTTGTAGAGTAGCTGTTCTTGGTGAGAATGGTGGAGAATATTTGTTTCAGCTTTTCACTAATTCTAATGGAAATAATTTTTATGTGGGACCTTTGGAAAGTTTGTTGCTTTACAGTTAAGATGAGAAATCTCTAGAATCCAAGTTTACAGGTTGGTTTGAAGTGAAAGTGAAATTCTGAATCAGATCCTTGCTCAGAAACAGAAGGGCTAACCATGGTCGTGTGGAGTGTTCCCACCCTCAGCTATTTAGGAAAATACCCATTATAGAATTGTTTTTAGGAACTGCAACCAGTTTGGATAGCAGGAAAAGTTCTTTTTCATTGAAAGTCATAAAGTTAGTAACTGCAGTGTTTTGTTTTTTTTTTCTCTGACAGATTTATTGTCCGCCCTGATGTCAGGCAAAAAAGGATGCCAGACTTCCTGGACTGGACTCTTTCCATGTTATCTAAATCCTCCTTCCAGACAATGGAGGGGACTGTTGTTATGAATGGCATGCTCCAGGCCCTGGTAAATACAGTTTTTTCTTTAAAAGATAGATGATTGTATTTATGATCATATGATACTGCTATGGTAGGCCTTTAATAGCAAATGCAGAGAGGTTCCTGTTTTTTAAAAAAGGATAAGATAATATACAGCTAGAATTTCCTCCACAACAGTTGTGAAGATGTAACTTCCCATGTATGTGTATTTTCTTTAAGTATTCTTGTCATCATCAAATGAAAGTGAAGTTGCCGGTATAGATACTGATAAATGACTCTGAAAAATGCTTTTAAATATCTGACTGTATATCAGTAGTCATTTCATAGTTCAATTTGGGCTTTGGTTTTTGTTTGGGTTTTTTTTTTTGTTTTTTTTTTTCTTTGAACAAAACCTTTGAAATAAATTAAAAAATTGGAACTGTACAGAATGAAGAGGTTTGGCTTCTGATATAGTAGTGGTCTCTCCTAGACTTTTCAGAACTGGTAACCAAAATGCAAGTGATACTTGAGAGTTGTATCCATTCCTCTTCAACTAAAATATTGTTCTCAATAGTTTTAATTAGACATACTAAACTTGTTAGTGTCCTTCAATAGTCTGAAAAAATGCACTGTTTCCTGTGGTTTTCCTTGCTAATCTGAACAGTTTTTTTGTTTAATGCTCATTACCTTGTGAAGTAACAGTAGTTTATGACTTGGAGAGCTGAATTCTTAGTTTGGGTTTTAAAATTTTTATACTACGCATAGGAAAAAAATCTGTAATACCTGAACCACTACTATATGATAGCACTCCTCTTGTATATTTTAAGAATATCTTTTTATAAACTCTTTCTTGTAGTTTTACACCCTTAAAAGTGTTGGTGTGCATTTTAAAATACTTGAATAACAGTTCTGGTATCTATTCCAATTTTGATGTCCAAATCTATTTGGGTGGATTGGGGGAGTGTGTGTGAGTGGAGTTGTTCGTTCTTGTTTTTGTTGTTGACCAAACTCAAGGTAGTGCAAGCAAAGTCAAATGACATGCTCTTGTACAGTCTTTGCACAGGTTTAAGGATTTGCTGGTGTTTGTACGAGTTTCTATAATTTGCATAAATTTGCAGCTCTTTTTAAATAATTGCTATGAGGACTTGTATGCAGTATGTTACTAAACATCAAAGCAAAGTTCTGAAACTAATGTGTGATGTGTGTTTTTGGTTTTTTTTTGTTTGTTTGTTTTGTTTTGTTTTTTTTCTATAGCAGCTCTTCCAAATCAGAAGATACAAGAAATGATCTATATTTAGAATAACTTAGGACTTGCTGCTTAAGCAGGAGGAAGCATTATTTGTATGCATTGCAGTGTGTTTCAAAAGACAGAATGATGTTTCATCATTTTATTGTCAGATCTGGAAAGGGAGACTGACTGTTTGCCATGCTAGGTGCATGATGAGACCTGTAGGATGTATAATACATTAGTGTTTTGTCATAATTCCTTTGAGTTTGGCTTTGGCTCTATCCACCTGTTCATTAGTGCATACTAAGCGAAACAGGTGAATACTTAACAAGTAGAATCGAAACTAGAAAGTGATACAATATACCTGGAAGCAGAAGCCTGGCTTCTTGCATTTGTATGATTTTTTTCCGCCTCTGTGGGATAGGAGAAAGTGTTTATCAGGCCAGTTTTATTTGTGTCCTACAGCTCATAACTCCCATTCCAGTTGATAGGTATGAGCAGACTGAATTTTTAAAGCCTTTTCTTGCATTCAGTCTTCAATTTTCAGTTTCAGTTACTACAATGTAAGCATGAATTATATCATTAGGGAATAAAGGTTTTCAGAATCATACATAGGCAGGTATGTGTGTATGCAGACGTGCTTAATTGGAATAGGAAATACTTATTTCAAGAGTTTAATATTAAGAATTCTGTAACCCTTGTAAAAATAGCATGTTGTTAAACCAAAAATATCAGCTGAAAATAGAAGCAATGTTTAAAATAAGTAAACCTTTTCTCTTAAACACGCAAGTTTCTAACAGTCAGTACAGAAACATAATAAGTAATTGCTAAGTGTGTGAAGCAGAACACATGCTCATGGAGGGACAACTAAAACTTGTGTCAACAAGCTTCAAAATTCTTTGGCCTTGGATTCCTCCAGCAATTTGTTACTTTAAGAGTCAAACTGTAGTTGCCTGGACATTTCTCTCTGAACAAGCAGGAGAAAAAAGACAATTTTTCAGTTTCTGGTCAGTACAGCAAGGCAGGTTTTGGGAATGTAACAGGGTTTGGGAATGTAACCCACCAGGGTGGGGTTAAAAAGTCTTTCTCTCTCTTCATTGGATCAGTTTAGGGCTGCCCCTAACAGGGTGGATTTCAGTCGGATTATGATACTATGCTGCTTATGGTCTGCATTTAGGAAATAGCTTGTAGTGAGATTGGCATGGCAAAACTATTTTAAAAAGACATGAAACTCTTGCATTTCAATGAACTGAAACTGCAAGTTAGGTACACAATGAGTATTTCAACGTTGCTGCACTTTGATCTGCCTCTTCGTGGCCTTAAGTCTTGGTGATTAGGTATGCTACTGTTTAATCTAACTCAGCATTATGTGTAGAACAAGTACTACTGTTTCATGATTCTTGTTGAAACACGCAGCCTGCATTACATATTTTAATTCCACTGATGCTTTTTTCTTTTTTTTTTCTTTACACCTGTCGTCAGTAATATATCATTTCACAACAGGTGTGCACTGGCAGGAATCTTTTCTTACAGTATTTCAGATTCATTTTTTAAAACTGCCCTCTTGTTGAAATTAACATTGCAGTATTGAATTAAATTCACTTTTGTGCTTGAATACTTTGTATATTTGAAGGATTATAAATGTTTGATTAATAAGAAATTGCTGTATTTTTTTATAACATTTGTTTACTTGAAGGAAACTTCTAACCTGTTTCAAGAATCTGCATTTTAAATTCTCTTGGTCTGGAGGTTTGCTTTTAAACCTGCCATTATATCAAACAGCTTTTTAGTTATTGCTGCAGGGTGTAGCACTCCCAGTTCTTGCGTGACAGAGATGTCATCATGTTGAGGTAGCCTTGGGCATTGAAACTTATTAAACCTTATTTGTTTTATAAGTGATTCAGTATACAAGTGTGAGTAATAATTAAAAAAAATAAAACGCCCTACACAGTGATCTGATGAAACTCGAGAGTCTTAAGAACAGGGCATTTCCCTGAGCTGTCTCTAATGCAAAAGTTATTTAGCAATAGCTACATGCTTATGTAAATTTTGCTCCAGGGAAGAAAGAACTCTCTAACTCTATTCTTTCAGACCCAGAGGCACAAAAACAGAATATTTCCAAATAGAATGTTTCCCAAGTCTCTATATTTTTGGCATTCTCAAAGAATTAGCGATGCTAGGATTGTCCATTGGCATTATTTTTTAAAAAATGTGTTGTTGCTTAGTGGTTTGGTGATAAAAGTATATAAAAAGCAGTGTGGATGTAAGGAGAAGAAAAAAATTCTTATGTCTGTAGATACCAAAGGCACTGACCCCTTCCTGGTAATACTGTATCTCCTCTCTTTCTGAGTGGCACAGAGTATTCTGATGTGGCCTTGCCTGATAGTTCTGAGTTTTCTTCCTTCTCACCAGAAGTATTGCAGCTGGTTCAAGGTTCAGAAGTTCTGTTATCATAAGCCTGTTTCTTTTTCCTGTTTGAAAATATAGTGCTGTCTCAAGCTGCTAATTTTTTTTTTTTCCTCCCAAGTATTTCAAATCTGTGGGTTTGGGTAGTCTTGTTAAGATGGAAAGGAACTATTCTGTTAGCTCTCCATGTGTTAGTGTAAACTTTTCAGGCTTTCAACTGATAAATAACTAAGATCTTATGAAAACTGAACTCCTTTTGCCACCCATTTAACTGGACTCTGTATTGAAGCTTGTCAGTTTAAGTACAGTGTTGATGATCAGTACCCCAACAAATACGTGTGACCTACAGTAGGTGTACTATTTATGTTGAGGACATAGCAGGAACAAGGGCTTTAACTAATCTATTTTACCATTTCTCTACTTTCAAGTGAACTTCTTATTCTGGCGGCATGCCCTCCCCCACCTTGTTTACCTCCCCACATCTGGCCTGGAGGGAGGGATGGCTGATAGCTTTCCCTGGACCTGGATGTTGTGTGACTACTAGGGGGTGCTCCAGAGTAATGAAAGATACCATTTACTTCTCTTCCCATAGAGGCTGAAAGTATTCTCCCAATCCTTGACTTGGTTGGTTACGACCAGAGGGTAGATTTAGACTTGTGTCTCCTGCTCGGCAGGAAGATACACTTGCTACCAAACAGTCAGGCCACCCTTAATGGTGATTTGTATAGCTTGGGGAACATGTCCTGGAGATGATCCTGATTGATATATCTCATGAAGGTCGGGCCTAAAGTGGGTTATGCAGACAATTGGAAGGTGTGGTGTGTTTCTTCTGTGATTACTAAGAAACTAGGCTTTGTTTTCCTTGCACCATGCTATTTCTAAAGCAAAACCAGACTTGACAGTCATCATTGCTTGCACACCACTGATTTTCTCTAATTTGTAGGTGGCTTAATTATTTATAAGAGAGGGAGTCACATACTTTTCAACAGTTCAACAGGTTGGGTAAGTTGGTGTATGCTGTATGTCCTCATTAAATTGAAGAGACCATGGCGTAACTTTGATTGCCTGGATACTCCAATAGACAGGCTCCTTACTTTCAGTATTGTTAGTTGCTGACACTAAAATGTCTATGCAGGTGGCAAACGAAGCTTATTAATTATTTTGTTTGTATCAGATTTTTTGAAATGGTGTGCCTTGGATGTTTTTCTTCCTTCAAGGCAGGAAGTTTAAGCTGAATACTGTAATGCTGATTTGTCCTTTTTTCTATTTTTTTTTATGTTTTCTGTTCATGCATCATGTACTTTTCTTTTTAGTATAACCCCTGTAAGCTCTAGGTTTGCAGGATTTTTCCGAGACAGGAACTTAACCTTACACACATGACTGTAGCATATGCTGGAAGAAAATACATACACCACTTTCCCCTCCCTCCCCCCCCCGCCCAAAGGCCAACATCAGTTAAAGTGCTCTTTTATTTCCTCTGGAAAATATATCTACTAAGCTTAAAAAGTTGGGAAATTTGGGCTTGTGAATGCTTTCACATGCTTTGACTCATAAAGAAGTAATGAAAAGTTCTTTTCCTGACATTTCTGCAATCAGAAAAAAAACCCCTAGACACTGGATTTCCTGCTGTGTTGAATATCTGAAGAGTAGTTCTTAACACTTTGGCTATTACCTATTTACTTATATAAAAATTGTTTTTAAAATGGCTGTTAAACTTCTCGCTGATACAGAGAAATACCTGATGTATCGTTTGCTGAAACACTAGTAAACTGGTAGAAGGTTGTATGTGACCTGCAATGTGCATTAGTGGGTGCAAACAGAACTTTCTTTCCTTTCAGACATTTGGCATTTTCAGCTGTGTTTATTCCAAAATCAGTAGATAACATATTTTATTGATCAAAAATCATGTAAATATTAAGGCCCATTTTTTTTTTACAGTTCAGTGATTAATTTAAACACTGTAGCTGTGGTGGTCTTTGGTTCAGGTTTACTTCCCCTAGAAACTTGTATTGGCAAAATAAAATCCCTTAATCCATATCTCAGTTGATTTACAGCAGTTGCTATCATGATTTTAACATCTGAAAATATATTATAAATCCTTGCAGTATTTTGTTTGAGAATACATGTTCTGTGTTGAATATTAGAAATGAAAACAGTTCGTTATTTAAGTATGTAGCAAAACTGTGGTTGGGAAACAATGTGTTTCACTTTTTTCTTCAGAAAATAATAGAAATGGTTGTGAAATGGAATGTGTTGGGTTCACTGCTCTAAATTGATTCATAGGTGTGTGAGGCTGTTTTCTTAATTTTTTTAGAAAAGCATTAAAAATATTTCTTGTACAATATTTGAAGAGTTTTCTCTTTTCCTGCTTGTGTGTTGGTTAATTTTTTCCCACATCTTGCTTAGAGGTGGTACCTTCTAGTTATCTTTTTCCTGAGGAGCCAGCACTGAATTCAAAGTTGGCCTTAAGGATGTGAAAACTCATGGAGAAACTTGTAGAAAGGTGCCAGAATTTAGGAAATATGTAAAACTGAAAATGTGTAAATGTTTTGAGGATTCTATTCCATCTTTGCAGAAGCTCCTAGACAGCATGCCGAGAAGTGTGAGTGTAGGCATCCAAATGGTTTTTGTCCCGGAGCATTCCCAAGGCTATATTAAAAAGCTGTTTCTCTACATTATCACTGCTCCAGGAATTATACTGTGTTTGAATATGCTTGAATATAATCCTAATAATTTGGAGGCAGCCTGTGTGTGCCTTAAAAACAGTATTTGCTCTTAACTGGGCTATTATACAGAAAGGAGAAGTAATTGTGAAGATAAGGTACTGCAGAAATGCTGCAGTATCTCCTAGCATCCGCTACAAACTTGCTAATCTTGTGAAGAAACCATCTGATAGGTTTTTAAAGCAGAACACAGGAACAAAATGATGAAGAGATGATGAGCTTCTGCATGTTTCAGCAAAGAGGTAGGAAAATTTTAGAGGCGCTCTAGATTTTTTAATTATGCCAAAGATTTGCAGATTTTCTGTCATCTTTTCTTTAGGCTTTCTAATACAACCAGAGTTGTATGTTAGTGGGGAATTTTTTTTTTTAATATACTGATATTGATAAAAGTTATGCTGTATTTATACCATTTGTGTTGATAGTTATTTCTGTTAGCTGTTCTGGGCCTGAAGTAGTTCTGTATCATTACTGCTTTGTAAATGTAGTTTTTACAGGATGCCTTTTAATTGCCTAGTTACTCATAAAAGCATTAAAAATCTTAAATAATTCAACATACATTATCAAATTCCCCTATATAGCTTGTAGTAGAGCTGATCAGAAGTGCTAATTTAGGATCCTAAAATGCAATTTAGTAACAAAACAAAATAGAATGGGTACATAGCCTAAAGGTGTTTTTATTGCCTTGTTGCTCTTAACCACACCTGCAGTACGGGAGGCATGTGTGTGTTTGGTATGTGTGAGAAAGTACATATTTTTAAGGTAAGTCTGTTCTTGTTTAACTCCTAGGCATATTTATTGAGGAACATTTTTCTTCTGGTGAATGGCAAAGCAAGGAAAAATAAGTGACTGAACACAGTAGTTTTGATGCATACTATGTGGACTGAGGAAACTTTAAATGTGTAACATGTTTTTGTCAGGTGTTAATAGTCCATTCGTCTCACTCTAGTGGTGGGGCTTAATCTTAGTGGGATATTTAATTGTATATAAAATTATTTTGGAAGCTCTTTGCTTCTTTAAATCCCTTGGCACAGGAATTAAATTTTTCCTGTTGGAGGTATATTTGTAGCAGGCTTGCAGTCAAGAGATTTCTGTAGCTGGTTATGTTTAGTTTAACATGGAGATCTCAAAAGCTGTTGGAGAAACAGGGTAAAATACTCAGCAGTGTAGCCTGTACTGTGTCTTGGCTGTCAGTGTGTGGTTGCTACTAATAACTAAGCTCGCTCACGTGTGTCCATCTGTCGTGCTTCTTAGCAGTGACCAAAGCGTTGATGTGTATGTGTCCTGGGTCGTCTAAATCATGAGCTAGGCTTGTGCAGTTTGGAGACGTTCAGTGCCAAGAAGTCCCAAACAGGATATAGAGTTCCCCTAGTTATTCTGCCCTTATTCATGTTCTACAAATTCTGCTTCACTTTTTAGAGGTTCAAAGCAACATGAGCTGTTTGAGATAATAGGTGCTGTGGTTGCACCTGCATTGAGCTTGTGTGACCAAGCACTGAGCTGGATGGTTCAGAGAGCTGAGCTGGCTGAAAACTAGTGTCTTTTATTCCACCACCACTTACCCCCCCCCCTTTTTTTTTCTCTTCCATTTTCTCTTGAGTGTTTTTTGGCCAACGTTGGCTGCCTGCATGATTGTATGGGTGGGAGGGGAGGGCTGGGCCACAGTATCCTTGACTTGCATTGACTTACAAAGAAGTACAAATGTACCCTAAGACTCTTTTCCTTTTATGCTATTTAAATTAGTAAACACTACAGATTATTGCAGGAACATTAAAAAGTATTTTAGAACTACATGCTTGATATATTGTGGTTTAGAATCTCTATATTCTCATGTCTGTTTTCCCTGTTTTAATTGTAGGCACAGTTATTTAAACATGGCAAAAGAGAAGATTGTTTACCGTATGGTAAGTTTGTAATAACCCGATTTCTGTTTTTAAAGCCTTTCCAATAAAAAAAGTAAAAAAACATTAAACCGATAACAAGTGATGCTGTAACGAGTGAAATCAACAGGGAAGTTATAAAGCATGCAAAATGAGGGGAGAAAAAGAAGAGATGACAGTGAGGGAGGAAGAGACACCACTGGGGAATGTTATGTTGGAACAGCTCATCAAAGGATTTGGCAGGTGATCACATTGGCCATTGCTATAATACAGGAGCTGAACACAAAACATATAAACTATAAGATGTGGAAAATATTTTTAAAACTTCATTAGAACATAAACTGGTATTCATATTACTGCTGAAAATTTTGCAGAAAATCTTCAAGTTTTAATATAAGCACAGGACTTTGGAAAACCCAAGTTTAAAGAACCTGGTGTGTACAGCACCCAGCTGGAATCATGTAGCGATACTGTTGAAATGAGAAAAAGGTTTTAGTGAAAAGAGATTATAATGGATACAGTTAGGGATAGACGGGTACCCAAAAGGAGAGCACAGAAGTTTCTGAACAGTGTAGCTGCATGTTGGAGTTATATTCATCTCCTGGTGAATTGTGGAATATGGTCAGAACTGACTGCAAAATACTAGCTTGTTTTTTATTGATAGCGGTAAAGAGAGGTAGGGAAAGATGATGGCTAATTACAAAACACTACAAAAGACTTGTCAGTTTTGTGGAGCTTATCAAAGCACCAGAAATGTTGGCTTGTGCTATTCACGGGAATCAAGCAATGATGTAAATTCACTTTAGAATGCTTATGATTTCACTTAGTAGAATTATTTTGACTTCCAAGAAGAAACTTCGTAGATCTAGTGCTGGAAACAGTTTCATTGTCCCGGTTACCATGTTGGAGATACAGACGCTTCCTTACAAAATGCCTGAGATATGGGTAAAGATGGAGATAAGATAGTGAAGACAAACAGAATGGAATGACATATGTGCTATACAGCTGGTCAGGAACAAATGGAAAATACTGAGGAATGTCATTGCATAGAAATAGCAGACAGCACTGTGGAAGCTTAAAGAGTAATAAGACTGCCAGATAAGCAGAATAATAAACAGGCTAGATAAAATATGGTACAACACAAAATTATGTAATTTAAAAGATGCAGCTGTACAACACAATGGTCATAATTGATATGAAAAGAAGATACTTGGCTCACAACATTAACCCTGCTGGTAAAATTAAATGTTTTTGCCTATGGCATATAGAAAGACTATTAAGTAGTTATGAGTCTGGTAATAAGAGAAACATCGGGGCATACCAATGAATAAATTTACCATAGAAAAGATAGAATGCTCACAACTAAGAAGCAAATATTCAGACAGAAACTGTTGGGGATAAGAAAATGTGAGAGACAAAAAATATCAAAGATATTTAATTATCACAGGTTATGGCAGATCTGAGGATCAAATAGAAAAAAATAATAGACAAATGTCAAAGGAAGATACTGTTAGAAATCTTTTGCAACATAGAACTTGATTTAAAATAAGCACTAGTCCTGAAGCCATTTGCATGGGTCTGTAGATATGTTAGTGATTCACAAGTTGGCAGGACTTGGAGGATGTTTATATTTATGTATTCTTAATTTTTTTTCTATCTGTGAATATTGATGTTTCTGCAGTCTCTTCCTCCAACACCATTAGTCTCTCTAGCTTTTACAACTGGAAAAAAATCCAGGTTGCTGGAAGGTATCGAAGTAATAGTCATTACCGGCTTTACCTTTTTGTCTGCATGTATTATTAATATTTTAGTATGTCCGGATAAATCATAAGCCTTTTTAAAAACAGATTTTTAAGTCACGTCCTACAATTTCTCAGCCTTTTAAACAATTGTTCTATTTTTGATCTCTTAGTGTTTTGAAAACCCTGATATGAGACTGGAGTAAGAGGTTGCAGAGTATTTTGGCAGTGTGGTTCCATATTTCCAGTGCTTATAGCAAGAATGCTAGGTCCTTCAGAGCCCAAGTTGTTAGTTTTTATTAACTAATGATCAGCCTTCAAAACAATCATTAATTGTTTCAGGCTGAAAATGCAAAAGGACTGGTTTTTTTGTAACAGGAATGTGTCCCTTGTGAAAATTTTAAATCCTGGAACTTTATACTTCTTAATCTAAGATGCTCCTTTTGTCTATGTTTTTTTACTTTGCTGGACAAATAACTTTGTTACCTTTGATGTGCCCAAATGAAAGGTTTTGTTGCTGATTGTTTACACATACACATTATTTCTCATGTCTAAATGTTTATAGACATTCATTGTCATAAAAATTTCTGTGCCAGAGGAATTAAGTTGGTGCTGCCTGAAAATAATAAATGAGGAAAGGGAATGCTTTCTTAGTATGCAGAAACTAGCTGCAGAGTAAACGAATTAGATTTTCTGACTCTTGGTTCTGTTAGACTACTGAAAAATCTTAGACCCCAAAAGATACTTGAATGTGTTACTTCCAGTGAGAATTAGAGACATAAATACTCTCAGAATCTAGAATCATTATAATTTTCATAGTCAAAAGTAATCTTTAAAGCAATCCTTCCTGTTTGGTAGGTAGAGGATATTACCACTATTTGACCAGTGTCAAAGCTACTACAAAGTAGGTAATAAGGCATTTGCATTTCAGTAATACCTTTAAAAATCTAAATCTTCTAAAGAACTTTCAAAACTTTACAAAATTTTCTTACTGAGATTTTTTTTAAAACCAATTTTTCTAGAGTGTTTATTTTCTTTTACAGCTGCTACTGTACTTGAGTGTCTTGATAATTGCAAGCTGTCAGAAAGTAATCAGATGGTTCTTCGCAAGCTAGGGATGAAACTTGTTCAACGACTTGGACTGACATTTGTGAAACCGAAGGTAGCAAAATGGAGGTTAGTTTAAAGCTGAAAGAGTTTAAAAAACCAAATAAATCCAAAAGCACTCAAAAAACTTAAAAGTACCTAAATCCATACATTTGACTACTGGCCTTCTGCCCTCCTGACCTCCCCTCCCCTAAAAGAGAAAGAAAGAAATCCCTCTGTTATTTGGGAATGAATACATTCTTCATTTGCACTATTTGGAAAAAGTCAATTTCTTCCACTGTATTTAGTTTCCTGTATTTTTTTTCAATTTTCGTATAGTAAACTATAGTGCTGTGACAAGCCAAGTCTTCTGACTTTTCATGTTGCACATTACACAAGCAGAAGCCTGTCCCTATATAATGCATAACTTGGTAAAGATGGGAAGACAGTAACCTTTGTTACTGAAGTTGATTTAGTACAATTTTGTAAGAGTGAACATAACTTTTTCCATTACATAGTTCTACCCTGATTCGATAGAAAGTTCACAGGGGAAAAGTAGTTTGCAATCCCACTTTCGTTTTGCATATTAGTCAGGTTTTGGTGTCTGGTTTTACTTATTGCCAGAGGGCAAACTCTTTTTTAGATTTCTCGCACTGATATTTTAAAATTGCAGGCTCCCTTGGTGACTATTTTTATTGTATTTCTTTTACCAACTTTTGAGAACGTCCTTAGGCATAGAAAATTCTTTTTAGATGGAGAGTGTACCTTGCCTAATGGCAAAAGTCAGTTTAGCATGTAAAGTATATCTTTTGTAAGAATGTATCTACACCACAGGCTAAATATCTGAGTACAGCTTGGGCAGAAAGTACTAAGCTACCTTTAACATTTAAAAAACAATTTTTAATAAGTTGATTTTATTAATTTTATTTTTTTTTTTGGAGAGGTTTTTAGAGCATGGGAATTTTGCCTCTCTTTATTGTCAGCAGTGGAAAGTAGGTTATACTGAAACAGGAAAGGGAGAGATAATGAAAAGGAACCATTTAAATAGTCTAGCTCTTCTCACCTTGGAAAAGAGACAACTGGGTCAGGAGGGAGGAGAATGGGATACTTTTCCCTTTCCTTTAAAGCAACCCCTAAATAACTGGAGAGCTGTACACTGGGAGGTGTAGTAACTTGACAAGCAGGCTTTATGACAGTATGTACCTATTTCAGTTGGAACTTAAATCAGAAAAATAAATTACCTATGTCTGTTTCTTGTGCAGATACCAGCGTGGCTGTCGATCTCTGGCTGCCAATCTGCAAGCTCAGAGTTCAGCTGTGCAGAATCAAATGATAACAGTTGCTGCTAATGAAGCTGATGAAGAAGAGGAATATGATATTCCAGGAGAGATTGAAAATGTTGTAGGTGTGTTAAAACTGGACAGGAAGTATTGTAATGCCTGCAAATTAAACGTTTATTGGAAAACAACCTGCTTAGGGCTAAGACAGTCATGTGGGTATCTGTGCTAAACAATTGGAAAGACTATATAAATTTCAGTCTATGCAACTGATTAAAATATACTATAGTTTTGTCAAATGATTTAGATTTCAGTATCTTGAGCAGAAACTCAATACTGTAGCATTTGTTGTTGGGTTGGGGGGTGGAGTTACTGAAATATGTTTTACCAATTTTATCCAGTAATATGAAAGAGATATCATGAACCTTTCACAGATGGAAGGATGAATTAAAATTCATAATGAAAACCAAAAACTCGTGGTACATGAAAACTAAAGAATTACGGTTTAAATTTTTAAGCTGTGGTAGTATCAAAGGAACAGCATTTTTTTTTTTTATTAGTATGCAGTCATACAGCAGGTCCTCTGCTAGCTTGCTGGTGGATATGCTGTATATAAATAGGCAAAAATTGCATCAGAAGACTTTTATGAATAATCTAATGAACCACTGAAAAAAGCACCATGAGCACCATTTTGAATCTTCCACAGTACTTAAAATTTCAAACCAAATTTTCTCTATTAGAAAACAATTTTGACATCTTTCTTGTTTTTTTGATTTCAAGTCGTACTTGTGTGACAAATAGAAGAAATCTAGATACAAATATTTTTATTTAAACTAAGAGGCAGTTATGTTAAGAGGAAAATGAATTTTGAACATTTTAAATCTTTCTGTTGTTAAATGAGAATAATCTGTTTTGTTTAAATAAAATTATCTGCAGAGCAACTGTTGGTTGGACTGAAAGACAAAGACACTATTGTCAGGTGGTCTGCAGCAAAAGGGTAGGTTTCTTATGTTACTCTAATAAACTAAAATAAACAACATAGAAATACAGTCTGATGTAATCCATGTTTGATAATTTGTGTGTACTGTCAGTATTCACAGTTACTTCAAATGGCTTTAGCGCAGCTCATGGTATAAAGCCATATTTGTATGTTTTTCTGATATGAAATTAGGCTTCTCTTCAGGAAGGTTTTAGATAGGTTTGGAAATAAACATTCTGGATAAGACTTGATTTGAAGGGTGTAATGTAGCATTTCTTCAAAATGTTTTTTTTTCTTCCACTCTAAAAAATGTATTTCTGTGTTAAGTTCACTACTGTGCAGCTTTTGCTTCGAGTTTGAGATTGTTGTTTTAGGGTAATGGTGTTAGGGTAGTGCATTGTCATCTTGAAGTCAGTCATCTTATTGTAAGTTTCCAGTAACTAAATTTTTTATAGGACGTATTCATCAAATGCAGTACTAATGAATCACTGTATGCTTTTTTTTCTTTTAACTTCTGAAGAATTGGTAGAATAACTGGAAGACTTCCAAAAGAATTAGCAGATGATGTGATTGGGTCTCTACTGGACTGTTTTAGGTAAAAATTTTATTTTGCACTTCACATGCATCTGAAACATGTCTGCTTATGAAACATGAGGACAACAGTTAGGAAGAGAGGTCTAAAAATCTGTAAATTTTGTTGCCCTCCTTCTCCCAGATTTCAAAACCTAAGGCATGGACATGCTAAGGGTGTTCAATAAAGAAATTACTAATAATCCTTCATCTTGACCCTATTCTAAAATAATGTAGAAGGACTGAAGTTGAACTTCAGAGAAATAAAAATTAAAAATGCTCATTAACTTGCTGCTTTCAAAATTCCTGGTGTGCTCCTGTCTTGAGTGTTGTGTGCATCTTCAGAAACATAGTAGAACTGGTAATTATATTCAAAAGGTCTCTGAGGATCACCAGAAATAAAAAGCGATCTCTACGTGAGGGGAGGCTAAAATGTCTAGGAAGAGTGAGGAATAAATGGGGTATAATAGAGGTTTATGAAATCATGAATGGCATGGAAATCATTGCCCTCTAGATTTTTTGTTATTAGAAGCAAACTAAAGTAGCAGGTAGCAGGTTTGGAGTAAAGGAAAGGTGGTGGTTATTCACAGAACACATAGTTAAACTGTAAAAACTTCTTGCCGCAGGATGTTGTGTATGCTAAGAGTGTTTGCCTGAACAAAAAACGTTTTTTGTTTCTGCAAACTTGTTCACAATATGCCAGAGTTTGGAAGTGTTTTGGAGGGTGTTGCGCTATGCTTGTTCTTATACTATACCTAAGGCACATACTGTTGGCCATGTGAGAGGGAGGCTTTTGGGCTAGCTGCAACTTCATTTTGATCACATATAGCTGCTAGGATGTTCTTTTGATGCGCTTTGTTGTTGGATGTCTTGTTTCTGCATCCATGTAGAGCGTGTAAAGGACTGAATTATTAAACAAGTATCGTGCTTTTTTTAATATCAAATTGCTCATCAGGTCTACATTGAGTACTTGAACTTTAAGATCTAAACTAGTGTTTTAGACTATGCTAATAACAAAAAGAATTTTTTTATTGGCAAAAAATATTGGTAATGTTCAGTTTGTCACTCAGATGTACTCAGTTTTAAAAAATCTTCTCATATTGGTTGTGAGTACAAATTAAAAGTACCAGCTCAAAAGATAACACATTAAAAAAAGGAGGTATAATGTCTTAAAAACTTGCAAGGGAAGTATCTACTTAGCTGATACTTCCACTGCGTTACTGTGATTAATTTAAGGGGTGCTGCTGATCTCAATTATCCCTGGAGCTTCAAAGACCTGTACTCACTGTGTTTTCTTTCCTTGTTTTTCAAGTCATAGGGCTGAGTAATCCAACTAGTAATTGAGTGACCTGCTTTCTTCAGAAACACCTGGGAACAAGTGTAGACAAGGACAAAGGGAATCTCTTCTGTATTCTTTGCACTAAATATCTAGTGCCCAAAATAAAAATAAGTCAGTTGCTCATCAGAGGCACTTTAAGTTATATCTCTTGGGATAAGATTTCTTATATGTAGATAGATTAAAAGACAAGAGACAGGCAATAAATAAGTGATCATTTTTCACAGTGCTGTGAGGTAATGAGCACAGTCCCGCAAGGGTCTGTATGGAATGAGCCCTGTGCTGTTCAACATACTTTTAAAGGATTCTGGAAAAAAGGTGTACAATGTGTGAGGAAATCACTTGATGATTTAAAATTAGCTAATGTAGTGAAAACTAAAGGTGACAGAAAAGAAAATATTATATAAGCCTAAGTTAAGTAACTAGAGAGTAAATAACATATTTCATATAATATCTACTGAATGCAAACTAATGCACTTTGGGAAAAATGCACCTAGCTGTAAAACAGTTATTACTACTCAGAAAAGAGATCTTGAAGTCAGTGATAGTTCTGTCAAAATGTCAGCGGAGTGCTCAGCAGCTGTCAGAAAAAAGAAGGCAAGTGGAATGTTAGATATTATTAGGAAAGGAAGAGATAACAAAGCTGAATCACCGAAAAGTGATTTAACTGATGGGGATTCTTCCAAGTGGAAAGAAAAAGCAGAGGGATATAGTGGAGGTATATAAAATCATAAATATGAAAGAAAGAGGGAAAGCAAGTAATTGTTTACTATTCATTCATTCTCATAATGTGAGAACTGGGAAACATCAGGAAGTACGTTTTCACGCAATTATAATTAAACAGTGGAAGTCATTGCCACAGGATGTTATAGAAGCCAAAAGTGTAAAGGGAGTTCAAAAAGGGATTATACAAATTAATGGAAGAGAGTCCCATCAGAGGTTATTAAATATGACATTCCGGTTGCAACCTCTGGCTTGGAAAGTCTCCGTACTGCTGATTGCCAAAGCTAGGAGGAGGCTAATAAGGGAATGATCCTGTACGCTTCGTCTTTGGCCAAGCATCTGCTATTGGTCCATGTCAGAGACAGGATACTGGGAGAGATGAAGCTTTGATATGACCTAGTTTGTCTGTTCAGCATTTTATTCTTAGATTCGTATTCCTAGTTTAATACAAAATGAACTTTTTGCATGTTTAGTCATGCAACGTGCAGCCTTTCCCCTTTTCACTCCTTTATCTGCCAGTCCACCAAAAATTGTGTACCATTTTTGATATTTGCATTCACTGCAAGTTGCTCTGGTTTATGTTTTTTAAAGGTGGATAAACAACACTGTTTGCTTACTACATAAGCTCGTATAATGCGTTTATTGGAAACTATCACTTGAACTTCTTTTGCTAGTTAAGGACTGTGTTTGGCACTAAATTCCTTAGGTTGTTTGGGTATGTTCTGTAAATGTGCATCTTTTGCCAGTGTACTAGAAAGTTTTCCTTTTCTTGATGAGTTCCAGGTATTGTAGTCTTCTGTATTGAGTTTACATTTATATTGATAAATAGGTTTTTTGCTTATTTGATCATGTTTACAGCAGTATTTATGTTACACAAAATGGGAAAGAAAACATGTTCAACTTGTCATTCTTATATTTTAGAAGTCTAACAGAATTAATAACACAATAAACACATGCTGGTTTGGATTATGTGTCTTTTAAAATGGTAGGAATTCACTGAAAAATGAAATCTGAAAAGGGAAGGCTAGTCTTAACAAAACTTGTCTTTGTTCTAAAATTAGTTTCCAGGAAACAGACAATGCATGGCATGGTGGATGCCTGGCTCTGGCTGAATTAGGCAGAAGAGGATTGTTACTCCCTTCCCGAATTTCAGATGGTGAGTTGTAGTTGCTGAATGTTAGTAAGTTCACGAATTAACAATTTATAGTATTAGAGCTTGAATGTGTGGCAATAGGCTGGAATTTGCTGATGTGAGTGTGCTGAATAATGACTGTAGTATTGAATTCTAGAGTAAAAAATATGCCTATGGGGATATTTAAGGTACTTCTGTCAAAAGCATTGCCTTGGGCGTGCCTTTTTTATACTTAATAAATTTTTCTTTCCAAAATGAAATTAGTTTCTTGGGGTTTTCTTCTTTCTTCCTCCCATGTTTCTGTGTACAGTTGTATAAAAATAATTCTGTATGTCTGTATATTGTGTCAGTGTCATTATTTAAATAGAATATATAAAATAATTGATGACTAAGTTGCTCTTTAAAGCTAGTAGCTTATGCTGTTTGTTTCTGATTAAATTTCAGAGGCCAATTTTGCATAACTTAGTAAACTGTAAATAATTTACTGTATTTTTGAATATTTGAAAATTTTGAATTTTGGTTTTTGAAAGATCAAGATGGAAGGAAAAACAACAGGGCAGAGGAATTGTTTCTTTGTGTGTTCTGTATGTATCAATGTACATTGAAATACAGAGATATTAATGTGAAAGTAGTAGTTCTCTGTTTTGTGATTTTTGGTCAATTTTTTAACAGAGTTGAATTGACAAAGGGATACTGTAGTAGTACACATCCAGGATTGGGCACTTTTACAGCAATATCTTGAGCTAGATGGTTCTTTTGATGTCATTTGGTACTCCTGTGTTGAACAGAGAAGTTGAACACTAGTTTTCAAAAATGATTCAAAACTGGTATTTCATACTGGTAAGTTAGGTTGCCAGATCTTTTCTATTTTGAAGATCTGTTGACTTGTCCTAGAAGAAACTGTAAAATATGGTATTTAATAACAGTTTATTATTCTGTCTTCTTGAAAAGAGTTCATGTTCAGTATGGTATCTGTTTTGCATGTGAGAATTTTTGTGCAGCTAGCCTTCAGTTGGTTTCCCTTTTCTAATACTTTTGCCTTTGTATGATAAAGATGAAACAGTTAAAAACCCTACAACTTTAAGAATGGGAAGTCATCCAAACATAAGCCTCTATTTTAGTTCTAACAAAACTGAAACTGTACACCTCTATCAAGGAATCAGGATAGCCTCATCTAATATAATTTTTTAAATCTAAACTCGAAGTTTCATGCAAGTTTGATATTGTACAGGACTGCAAAAGACATGAGTGAATCCTCACTCTGCTAGTGATTTGACCTGTGCTATGAAACCATTTGTCTTCACGTTTTAGGTTTAGTTTTTGTGTAGGTAGAATGGGGATGATAGTTGTATCCTTCACACCCTTCTTTTTCTGCAGAGGTGCAGTGAAAATGTATTGCTGCCTGTGAAGGTGATTTTAATATACATAGGTTTATATGCAAATTTTTAATTTGTCAGATTGCATACGAAGTAGCCTTCTGTTACTGGGGTGGAAGAATATAAAGCTAAGATAGGGGAGGAAGGGAAAGAGAGAACACAATCATGGCAGCAAAGTCTTTCTGGGAAAGACTTAGGCATAAAGATCTATGGAAAAACAGTTTTATAGGAATTAGAAGTTTCTTAATAAAACAGTGCTAAGAATTCCAACAGTCATTATGGAAGAAGATGGGTAAGAAACCTAACTGGAGACTATCTTGACTAAACTGCAACTTCTTTGGTTATCTGATACTCAAGAACATGTTATATAGAAGGCAGAATGGTATGAGTGAAGGATGAGTAAAAAGAGGTAGTCTGAATTTGTAGGGTTATAATTTGGAAAGACTTGGACATAAAATGGGATGCAGCTAGTGAAGAATATAACTGGTAATGACAAATCATGTTATATCTTCATCAGAGTCAAACCTTTATTATTGCTGAGCAGATATAGGCTGCAGAATAGCCATGGCACACTTGACATTGTCCCTTCTCTGTTTTTTTTTTTCCTTGTGCTTTATTGGACCTTTTCCATTTAAATTAATTTGAAAAAATAATTATACTAAATACAGTATATTCTAGTTTAATTTGCAAGTCTGTCTTATTCAGTTTTGCTTTATGTAAGTTATCCAATCCACTATTAATGTAGAAATTCAAAGTTGATTATAGTAATTTGGAGAAAGACAAAGGAATGCATTCTGGAAGTTGGAAGAAAAGTTAACACAGTGGTCTTAAGAGGAACTGTGTTGTACTTTGAAAGACAGACTTATGTTCAAATTGTCCTTTACAAAATTATTTAAGAAATTAGGACAAGTGCAAAGTAGTATTCCTAGTTAGGAATAAGTAACTACACAATTCAAGACATAGGGAGTCACTTCTAGGCAGCAGTTATACAGGAAAGGATGTAAAAGTTCATGTGGGTCTCCCATATCATTCTGCAATTTTATTTATCTTAGTAGAACAAGATGGTGAAAAAGAAGTCATGAACAGTGTGGTAATCCTTCCATCTCACTTGATACTAAAATTATGTGCATAGGGTACTCATCTTAGGACATCACACTTAAAAGATTATTTAAAGAAAGCTAGCCTAAAGCAGCAGGAATCATGAGAAGAACAGAAAATAAGACTGACGGGGAAAGACTGAAGGAACTAAGGTTGTTTGGTTGAGGGAAGACAAAGCTGAAAGCTTATACTCTTCCTCTTAAAAGAAAACCTATACTTTTGACAACTATTTTCAGTGACCAGAACAAGACCATAGGTAATAGGTATAATTTCCAGCAAGAGAATAGTTAGATAAGCATTAGGACTGACTTTGTTATTCTAAAGGAACTGGAGCCCTACAATAATTTGTTTACGGACACTGAGTTAGAAAGGTTTCTGTTAGGAAGGACAGAAATCAAGTTAATCAAGGTATGGAGAGCTGTTTGAGTAGTTAACCTTCATGGTTCCCTTTGCCTAGTTTTTATTTAATTTGAGGAATGGAGATGAGGTAGACTTCATCAATGGAACTTGTTTTTAGGAACAATATTTGTATAGAGATGGTGAAGAATTAATCCTTGAATTGTATGAAAAACCACCAAAAGGTTTTTCCTTATTGATTTAAAGAAATTCAAATTAACAATAAAAGAGATACATGAGATTCTTCTTAAATTATGGATAAGGGAAACTAGGAAACATTCTGCTTCCAGAGATTAGTGAGGCAAATAACTTCATGTAGTTTAAAAAACAGCAGCGGCAATGCTAGACTCCGTAATTTCATGTTTGGAAATTACAGATTTGGTAGCATACATCCCTAAGCTTGAAGCTTTAAACTTGGCCTAGAAAGAAGCTCTTTTTCCTCTTACAGCCTTGCTGTTGTAATTTGAGTTAATTGGACTTTTTCTGTTATCATATTCCATATGGATATATAACATATTCTTTGTTCAAACTCAGATTGATATTCTTGTCTTTTGTAGAAGTTTCGATAAGCTTTAAGGCAGAGGGAACTCTGAGGTTCGTCATAGGGAGCTAAAGTACAGATGAATTAATCTGCATAATGAACTTCCTTCACTGAAGGAACCTCCTTTTTTTAGAGTTGATGGGTATTCCATGCCAAATTCTACTTGTAAATTGAAAATTTAGCTAGCAATTTCGTCGCTAATTTTTCTTCCAAATATGTGTTACAGATAGTGTAATGAATGTATTTGTGTTCATTAATGACTTTCCATATATTTTAAGTACAGGTCATAGATTTATTTGAAAAATTGCAAGTTTATATACACAGTTATAGAAGAAGAAGGTAGTTTTAGGATGTATGTAGAAGCACACTGAAACTGATACTTAGTGATACATGTATACTGAAATAACACCTTCACCAGGAGAGTTTGCCTCAGGTGAAATAAATTATATAAATAACCTTTTACGCTTGGAGTTTGAAGGTTGCCCAGTGTCTGTCTAACCTCAAAGGACTAGGCATCTAAATTGTTTAGATCTTCAAATTTTCAGTATTGTTTTCACAGTGGTTCAGTTAAAGGTGAACATAAACTGCATTTGTTAAATTAGTGCAGGCTTTCTTTGGTTTAACTTGAGTCTTGTTCTTAGTCAACATAAGAAAAGCTTGCGTATACAAGGTTTGGATCAGTTTGTTTAAACTGTCGTCTGCCTCTGAGTAACAAAATTTGGTCTGTTGTTCTGTATTATGGCATAATGGCAAAGGGCATTCATACACAAAACAGTTTTTACAGTAAATTCTAAATAGGCAGGTTTAATCTTAAGCTTATTCAAACTACTGCACAGTGAAATAAAAAGATTTTCAAAGAAAAAAGACAAAAAAGCCCTATTAAGTGAAATTAAGCCTGAAAAAGACTATGACAGTATGTTACTGAACAATATTATCTCTAGAGCTTAAGCATCTTTTAAGAAAAGAAGTTGTAAAAGTTATTTTACATTAATACAATTGCAAAAAACCTTAAAGATTCATCTAATATACTTTGGCTTTAGTAATGAATGCAAAAATTCACTCATCAAAATCTGAGCTTATACAAGGGAAAGTTCAGTTACTTAAAAATATTAATATAAAATTATGAACATTATTTACATGGGAGAGATTGAATGTATCTTGTCATGGACCAAACCCAATAAGAGATGGTTTGTAGGAATTTTATGATGCTGCTGGTAACTGGCTTCTATGACCAGAAACTCACTGGAAAGTGAAGTATTAAGATACTCTTGTTCTCTTCCTTAAAGTGAAGACTCTGCTACAGTCATTTGGCCTTACTCTTTTAGTGCCTTGCTGTGATTTTGCCGATTCTTTTTGATTTGTCCTTTTTTGTCCTTTTACTTTTTGATTGCACTGAGTATCCTGAGTATCAGAAGAATTAAGAGTAGCTTCTGTACATGAAGCATTACTGTCCTGAGGACTCTGTCCTTCGTTGTCCATTCTAACTTTGCTCGGGCTGTACGCAGCTAGCTGACAGAGAGCTACAGCTGCTGTTTGTTTCTGTTCATCACAGCTGTCAATTATTCTTAAGTCTTGAGCTTCATTACAGGGAGCTGCAAAAGAAGATTTGTCACAGGCACTGTTAGTAGGGTTCTTGGGGTTACATGCATCTGCTCCAGAGGTTTCGTTTTTGGTGTTTGGAGAAGTAGCAGCACCATTATCGTGAGATGGACTGTGGAATGATGTTTTCAGGCTTACTGTGTTACAGGAATCTTTTACTGAGAGGTTGAGAGGCATGTCTTGCAATTCCAGAAAGTTCTGACTTTCTGTTTTGGATGTGGTTTTGTATGCATGCTCATGAATAGGTCCTGTGTTTGTGTCAGCCTTTTTTGAAAGATTAAGGGGAACTATCCCTGTGTCTTCTTCCGTGTTGGACAGTGAGCCTTCACTGTTATGGCATTCGTTCTGTGTGTGTGAATCTTCATCAGTGACATTAATGCTGAAAGAAATGAGGAGAAAAGAGAATTCACTATCAGTTGCTTTTTTAAATTGGGGCTGAGAAAGTGAGCAGGAAGAAAAAAAAAATCTGTCTAGAAGTCTGACAATTTTATTGTTTCTTCTTTAACTCCCCCAAGTCCCTTTCACCATATACATCACTGTAACACAGATAATTTCCTGAAATGTACAGACACGTGCATGGTAATGGTATTGGAAATACCTGATATACTTAAGGAAAATGAGTGGTCTACTCACTATAGCAACTGTGAGTTGTACTGTGTTTTGCACAGTTAACATAGAACAAATTATCTCAATGCTGTAAATTTAAATATATTTTGGGGGCATTGCATGAAATGTGTCCATCTATCTTTGTGTGTCCCTAGTAAATCTGACAAGAATTTGCAAAGTGATTTTACTATTTTACCTGGTAGGTGATTCTCCTCTATCTTGCTGTGTCTGCACACTTTGAAGTAGAGTTGGTTGATCAGTGCTTTTTCTCACAGGTCTGAAAGCTGTGAAGTTTTCTTCTGGTTGATCATACTTGCCAAGCGATGCGGAAGATGACTTGTTAGAAAGGTCAAATAAGCCTTCGCATGCATGGCTTGTCTGAGTGAAGTTGGTTGGGCTAGGTCTGCCGGGGGAGCCTGTTGCAGCACTTCCTGCAAGAGGGCTCATTTTAGCATTCTCTCTTTCATTTTGGTCGTCTTTGGAATGACTTTTGGCATGCAATAATGTAATTTCTTTTTCATAATCTGCTTGTTTTTTATGTGAACTTAGAGGATATTGTTGGGATGGGCTCAAAGAAGCTGGATACAGCAAGGTAGTTTCTTCCATTAGATGAGAATTTTGATCTCTGTTAATACCAGCTACATGTGAAAATCTGTAAAATGGAGGATCTGTTGGCCTACAAAATCCATAAGGTATCGGAGGAGTGGAATGATACTGTTGGAACAATCGATAGTGTTCATAAGCTGATGGATTTATGGGTTTTGGAAGTGGCCCAGGGTGGGGAAGAAAGTGTCTTTGATCTTGTGTGCCATAGACAGACAGAGCAGAGCTTTCACACTCTGAATTACCTGGAAGCAAGTAAGGTGTGTAGATAGCTAGCCTATGCTCATAAAAATGGGGTGAGTACTCAGGAATCATCGGTTGCATGTAAGGTGAAATGGAACCAAAGCCTTTTGTGGGAGCAACTTTATGTGGAAACTCTGGGAGGAAAGTAGAACCTGCTTTCCATGGGTGACTTGGTGCATGAAATGCAGACTTAGTGTGAAAGGGTGAACTTTTGTTAGAGAGCGATATAATTTCAGATACTTCACTATTTTCTGGGCCTTTACTATCTCTGTGTTCTCCTACAGGAACAAAAGCTGAGGGTCTTACAATGCTGTCCAATAGAGGCTGCATGCTGATAGCACTTTCTGCTGTAGTACTGGCAGGGGTTAATTCCTTCTGAATTGCAGGTTTTTGTCCTTGAATTGCTGTGTTTGTTGCCTGGTTTTGTAATTCAACGTTCTCCTTGGCATCTTCTTTTGCAAAAGGATATTGAGGCTTTGAATCGAGATTTGACAGTCCATTTGTGACAGATTTGGAAGAAGTTGGTTTGACTGTAGATTCAAGCTGGTTGATCTGTTTGGACTCCAAGGAACTGGTCTTTGGACACTTGATAATGCGATCCTGCTCTGATACTAAAGTAATTGAGTTTTTGCAGAGGCCATACTTCATATGGTTAAAAAGATGGGATTTCTCATTGCAAGTAAAGGGGCACTGAAAGCACTTGTACTTAAATGGCTTTCCTGGTGGTCTTGGGATGTAATGAGGCTTCTTTGGTTTACGTTCTTTGAGGAGACTCATTTTTGTTCTGCTTTAAACAATTAAATGTAATGGTACTTTATAAAAACTTTCTTGTGGTTAGCTTTCCTCAGTTTTAGCCTCTTGATGCTTCCAGTTTTTCAGGTTTCTAGAATCCTTCTTCCCAGGTGAAGAGAGGAAGCCAACTCCTGCGGTGTCTCAGGGAAGAGGGGGTGCCGGAAAACAACACTTTTGCAACTGGTAGTGCAGGAACTGTAACACAAAGTTTAAAATTAGCTGTAGTGGAACATTGGAACTAAATACCAAGTAATGCATTCTTTTAACTGTATTCCCCTTCATATTACATACGGGTGTGTTGTGGGGTTTTTTAAAACAAAACAAAAATGCTAGATGCCAGATTTGAGATAGACATACATTCAAGTTTGACATCCTTCCACACCTCAACGTAGTCACAGAAGTGGCCTAATTTTCAGCAGTGCTAGTCACTTGCCGCTGCTACTGGCTTGAAGGAGTTTTCTTTGAAAACTGAAGGAACATTCATTCAGAAGATGAAAGTAGAAATCTAGGTGGAGCTGTTGAGAGAGAAGCGGAGGTGGGCAGGATGAGAAGAGGCAGGTCCTGGCAGCAGCTGGTTATGGGGCAAGCCTGTCAGGCCGGTTGGGGAGAGAGAGGAGGGAATTTCCTGCTTTGGTGAAATGAGGGTGGAGTGGATTGGTTGCACTTGGGTAGCTGACTTGGCTCTTTCAGAGACTGACCAACCCCCTCTTTTAACTGGCATGGCATTTCCTAACAGCCTAATCTCAATGGATACCTCAAAAGTGGCCAATCTCTCGAAGGATAAAACCACACCAATTTTCTTCCTCTTCCTAATTCAATTAAGAGAAATGAGTACTGCAATATCTGACTAATAGAATCTTCTGCTTGATAAACACATTTCACATTCTTCTGCTGTGTAGCACCTTACATATTGCATTATAGTTAACACAGACACACAAGTGTATTAATTTGGGTAAAAAAAGTGTCTGACAGTAATTGATTTATAGGGGAGTGATCTATCTGCCTTTCTTCAGAAAAACTAAGGTTGTGGATACTTTATACAGCCTAATGATTTGCTCAGTAGATAAGTCAGGAGGGCTTGTATCAGCTTGTTCCATTATGTTCACTGATTCTGAAGGCGTGAGAAACTCTCAGAGTCAAGTTCTCATGATTTTATAGGATGTGTTATGGCAGAGATCTAAAAACTGATGATTTCATCATGAACTATAAGCATCATTATCAAAATGATGACTGTTGCAAAACCACGTACTGTATCTATTGTGTTACCCGAAACTACAGGAATACTAATTGTAAGAGTGACTAGATAGCATGACATTTTTATTTTTATTTTTTTTAAAAAAAAAAGCTTTTTGCATACAAGTTCGGATTAGTAGTATTAAAATACTAAGTTTATGAAAAGAACTGCTGGTAATTACATGCTGTGAGATTTTAGTTAAAGGAGAGATGTTTTGCATTTCCTAAATCAGAGGTTATTTAATAGACAATGACATGCAACACGTTATGAAAACTGAAGGCAAAGCTACAGAATTGCTGCTTGTTTCATCAGGTATAGTAATTCTAGCAAATTGTATTGAATGTTGTTTCTGATGTCATAGAAATATTAATTTTGTTAAAATAGTAATTGTGAAGGTACCCTGAAAAATGCAAAGCTGCTTTCTAAGTAGAAAAAACAATCAAGCTTTTTTTTAAAATTAACAAGTGATTAAATGTGCAATAGCTGAAAGAAAAAGGAATGTGTAGAGAAATAGCCTTTTATTTTTAAGGTTTTAGCAAAACTTTTTTCATTGTTTGAGTTGGATACTGACACTGTAACAATGAAAAAAAAATTGAATTATACAGCAGCATGTTAAATAAAGTCTTGTCATTGGAGTCTGGTTTAAATGATAATTCAATAAATTACAAAAAAATCATATAGTTTCAAAAAATATTTTAAAGAATGACAGCTAGAATTCCTGTGAAAGATTAAGACTAATGCTTTTACATAAATAAAATATTGAAGCATAGGAGGGGAGGTCCAGATAGGGAACTGGGGTTTTTTGTTTGGGTTTTTTTTTTTTTTCTGCCTTAAGTGAGCTTGTTGCATTTATCTTTGACTAATGATGAATAACTAACGTGGACAGTTTGTAATGGACTTGGTCAAGTCAGTTTGTACCTGTTGTTCTTTATATCTTCTTGGAAATACTTGTACTAATTATTCTTGAAAAAAAGATATTGTTGTCAAAACTTCATTGCATTCTTAGTTGAACCATTTATGATAACAGTCTGAATTTGCATTCAGGTGCAGCACTTATAATAAAGAGATGTTAATTAGATTTTCTTGTTCTGCTAGCTTTCCTTTGCTTAATAATGAAAATTCCTGTGTGTCCTGTTCCCCCCCCCCCCGACTTTGTACTTGGTATTTAGCTTTGATTCAAGTTATTCCTGTTCAACAGAGTATTAACTATCGTTTCTTAATAAGATAAAATGCATTGTTGCAGTTTTAATCTTAAAAGTTTAGAGCGTTGGAGCTTCTTTGGCATGTGTACCACGGGAGAGAATTACAACAGCGCTTTTTTTTTTTTTTTTTTTTTAATTTTTTGGTGGTATGTTTAGCCTGCAGACAGTAGTGCTCCCAGAACCTGCCGCTCGGACTTGAGAGGTGTAGAACGAGTAGCTTATTTTAAAGGGTGTTTACCCTTTCGTAAACTTGGGCTAGTGTCAGCTAGATGGATGTTCTGTTTCTCTCTTTTACTATTTAATCCCTTTTTTTCTCATGGTTTAAAAATGCCAGTAATAAAATATTTCTAAACCCAGACAAGAAGGATAATTTCTCTTCCAATCTCTTAAGTAAAACACAGGAGTATCTGGCAGAGGTACATATTTCATAATTAAAAAAAATTAAAACTATTTGATCCCACACATACAGCTGGAAAAGACATTAGTGGTTTAAAATAGGTGCAACCAATTAAAACTGTCTCTTTATAAATAATGTTAGTTACTTACAGTTGTACAATGTATGTTTTGTGCTACCAAAATTAAAATTTAGTATTAGAAAGAAGAATCAAAATAAGTAGTTTCTTTTTCCTTAAACTTGAATGCAATAACGTGTGATATCCTTTAAAAGTGGGAAAAAATTCTTCGGTAGCAGGATGATAATTTTCATGTGACTTTTTTTTTTTTTCAGATTGAGAATTTATTTCCTGTATACCTGATTTTAGAAATGCAGGTAGTTATATAGTGTTAAAATTTTCTTTTTCTAGTTTTGAATTGTAGTAGTATTATTTATTTATTTTTTTTATTGAAAACAGTTATTCAGATAATATTGGTTAAACTTGAGGTTGTCTTAGTTGTTTGTTTCTTGTCAATAGTATACTTCCTCGCTGCTTTCTAATCTGTAGCCCTTTTCAACCTGAGACTGATAGCTGCAAGTTTTTTTCCTTCTATTTTTGAAAGTATGTTGTTGGTACCTCCTTGCCTTTAACATATTAGCACGTTCAGAAAACAAGAATATCGTTTAACATTGTGTGCATGTGTGTGTATAAATACATAAACAAAAATGTACGTGGGTATAAGTATATACACACGTATTCACAGATGTATTCATACACACACATACACACACACATATATATGTACATATATATATATGTGCATGTTGTTTTTTAGGTCTTTAAGTAGTCTAAATTGTTTAAGATGCCCAGTTGATCAAAGAGGAAATTTCAAAATGTCTTTTATTACAAGCAGGGATGGTAATTATATTTCTTTTTAGGACACTGCTTTAGCAAACTACGTAACAGTTTGTCATGCACACTCCATTATTATTGCAGTATCCTTTTGGTGATGTTGATCTCTCTGACCAGGAGTACTTACTGGGGTGGAACATTTTGAAGGACATGCTATAATTAAAATATTGTGATGTGGCATTATTGCATAACTCAAGGACATGCCATTGTCACCTACCTAGAGTGTTGCAAGAACAAGATTTGTGAGTTTTATTCTAGCTGAGATTTTCCAGTGATTAACTACCACTCCCTTCTAAACTTCCAGTTCCTTTAAACTGAAAGATAAATTTTAACGCAACTGTTTGTTAATTAGGAGGAAACATGGGCGAGAGGAGTGGGTTGGTAAGGACTGGAAAGGAAGCGTGTGTTGAAGGTACGGATCAAAGAGGACTGCGTGCTTGTGTGTGAGGGCACGCATGTGTCTGTGTGTGTGTGCGTGCAAGAGGAAGTACAGAAACAGAGACTAAGTAAGTTGATTAGGCAGTGTGGATAAGAAATAAAAAATTTTGTAAATATTAAGTTAATAATTCAATGTCTTAATACACTTTTAATTGACTAGAGAGAGGATAACTCAAAACAATCCAATTTTCTGTGCTAAATTCCCAGAAGCTGGAAAAAATAATAAATCAAAACTGGAGTACCTTATTTTCATACAAGCTTTTCAGATTAACCCGACACTACTGTATGAAGAATAGTTGGCAGACTAAACGTAGCAATTTTAAGCAATACAGCTTTTTGTCATACTTCAATACATTAACTTCCCATATGAAAAAAGGTGCTTAAAACACTGTTCACCAACAAGAATTAATTATTGTAAAAACTTGCAAGAGTTAGTTTTTTCTCAAACTAAAATATTTCCCTCTCCTGTTGAAACTTTCTGCTGAAAGCTTAAACTGGTGCAGTAAATGCACCTGCTAGGAGTAACCTAGGCTTTTGAGAGAGCTGAAAAATGAACACTTCTGATTTACTTTTTAGATGTTAATATGAACACACTTTATTTGAAAAAAATGCTCTAAAGAAATGTACTTACCAGATACATAGATGTCTGAAACCTTCAAGGTGATCACTGTTGGTAAGCTGTAGCTGTCACTGCTGAGAGAGAAGTACCTGTTCTCTGCTTGATCTCTAAGTGAAACTGCAGGAGGTTGTTTCAGGGGGAGGGACTTAAGAAGTGTAGGAGTTGAGCCCTCGGGGTGTAGAGATGCACCTGATATTACTCCAGCCTGAAGCTACGATTCATTTGTTTGCGTCCACTGCTTTCATTCAGCATTACCTCAGCATCTAAGCTATCGAAGAGAGCTCTTGTCCCTTTTGTGCCCTCCAACAACCAAGTTTTACTCTGAACTGTAGTGTCTGTTCCTCTGAGTAGCAGTGTGCAATGTGGGGTCAAAAATGGCTTAGGTAATATACGGAGCTTTTAATATA